GTGAGTACTCCACACACAAACACCCACACACACACACAACCCCAATAAAGGTTTTGATATTTTGAGACACATAACCTCACCTGACTTAGGGTAACTGACTATAAGAATATCATCTGGTCTCGCCTCAAAGTTCTGTATGTTTTCCCAGTTGTCAGTGAAGTATTTGGTCATGGAGACACCATGAAAATCAAAAAGTGTCGGTCGTGTTGGCAGCTCCATCTGTGAGGAAGAGTAGTTTTAACTAGAACATTCTAAAGAAAAGGTGAAGGGTCACAATGCAGCTACTGGCCACAATTCCAACATTTAGTGAAAAATGTATAAGAAGCATAAAGAGAACGAAAGTCAAAGGAAACATTAAAGCTGTTGCCCGTGGTTTATTAGGGTCACCATGATAACCACATACTTGTTTTATAGATCTATAATTCCCTAGTTAATGAGAGGTAGACAGAACTGCAGACTGAAAAATAGACTAGAAAAAATAGGCACTGTGTAAAAACTGTAAGGTTCTTGATTTATTTATTTTTTTCAAATGAGCAGCAAAAGATTGAAAGCTGCACAAGTTAATGTTTATGTTTCTACAGTGTTTCACATAGGAAATTTGCAGCCACTGCAGAAAAGTGCAGCTGAAAGAACAAAAAGAGAAAGACGTTACAACAAGGCTATTCAACTGGTGGCCCAAGGGCTGAAAAATAAACATTGAGACATTTTTAATATTTCGGTCAGAGGGGCAATCTTGTAATGTGACCATCTCAGTTATCAACATTTTCACAAGCATAAATCAGTGCACTTTGAGAGGAGCCCCCTCCTCAGTGTAATCATTGACTTACACAACCCAACACCTTGCCTCACCCTGAGCCATTATTTTAGTGAGGACACACAGTTTAACCTGCTTTCCTCCTTATATGTAGCGGGAACGACCTCTGACTCATGCTGTCAGTTTACAGCCAGTAACAGAGATTTCAACAGTCAGTAAATGCCAAACTGAGCAGGACATTAACAAGAACAACCCAGTTCCACACTCAAAAACATGGTAACCATGTCTCTCTCCAGCTGTGAGTTCTGATAAACTGATCATTTCACTGTGATCTCCTGTGAGCCTGATTAAACTACAACAAACAGCTTTATTACTGGGGGAATATTGACGATGATTCACAGCAACTTTGTAGTAGTTATAGTCATTTAAAAATAGTTAACCACAAATAGGATGGATTAATTGAGTTAATTAATTTTAGTAAATTACACGGAGATGCTCAACACGCGTTGCGCTCACTTTCAGCCCAGCTGTTTTGCTCCGCCTCCTTTGGTTCTGCTCAAAGCTCACACCTGAGCAGACGTGGATGCTTCACCTGTGATTTATGAATTATTGGAGGAAGAACTGGTCTGTGCAGCCGTTTCACTTTAAATGAGAACTGGTTCTTAATGGACCAACAGCAACATGTTGGTCGTGCAGGGAACATAAAAAACAGTCAACAATTTTATTTTGTTTTGAAAAGTGTTAATATTTGGCAAGTCGCTGATGTCAGAATAATATTTATGTTTAATATGAGGCATAGTGAGTCACTTTTATTTTTAATTTTGTTTCATGTTAGAATATCACTACTTTTATTGCAAATACATAAATCTTGAAATGGAATTCATTTGCATTATGCTTTTGGGTTCTGTTTATTGCATTTATGATTCAATGCAAAATAAACATACTCAAAAGGTAAAAGATCATTTTGATACTTGGTTTATTTACATAATAACTTTAATTTCTGTCCTGTGAGCTGTTGGCTTTCAGAAACTGTGGCCCCTTGAGCAGTTTAGTTAAATAGCCCTGCATTTCAGTCGACCAGCAATAAAAACATGTATCTTCTTAGTGCAAGTAAAATGAAAAAACGTCAAATCACATGCCTTTTTGTGACCAAATGTTTTACACACAAGTGTAATATACCAAAGAACATGGACATTTTTAAGAGGAGTTTTTATTATTTTAAGTCTTTATTTAAAATGTGCTGAACATAATCTGATTTGTTAAGGCAAATTCCTAATCAGGAATGTTTGGAATATGGCCGCTGTCTCCTGCGACCTTAAATGCTCTCTTTGGGTTTGAAGAGGTTTTGTGCTTCAATCTGTTATCCCTGCGAACACACTGCAACTGACAAAAAAAGCGTAGTCATCCTAAAACGGACTTTATCTACACCCTGATGTAAATTTTCTTTTGAATATCCATCTTTGTATGAGCAAAAAGCAGACTTACCAAGATGAACAGGTAGATTTCCCCGACTATAGTCTGGTGTGAATCCTTCAAACAAGAAACCTTCAGCCCCTCAAGAAACCAGTTGTGTTACATTCAGGGTAACAGGCTACGCTACTTCCTGTCTATTGCACTTCAACCTATAGTGAAGATGACATGCGAGCACTTGTATGTAGGTAGAGGTATTTTATTTATTTTTTTTTTATTTTTTTTTTTAGAAAAGAAGAACTTTTTATTTGTTGTGGATCTACAAAAAATACTGTATTGTGTGTGTGTGTGTGTGCTGGCGATTTACACCTCCTGTCAACAGTTCATTGTCTGAGAATAAAGTTTTTGGGGCTTTCAATAAAAAGAAGAGGACAAAAAGCCGAATTACAAAAGTGCAATAACTACATGCTGTGTGTTTCTCATGGCTGTCAGCAAACATCTCCTGGGTCGTCACCAGTCGTAATATAGATCGATTACAAAACAAAACAATAATCCAAGATGAGAAAAACAAAAATGACAAGATTTATGAACAAGCTACACCAGGAATAATCATCTAGGACTAAAGTGTTGCCTCCAATTTTCTGTAAGAACATTCATTCCTTTGTCCAAATCTGTTTTTTTTTTTGTTTTTTTTTGAGGCAGACATTTGTGTTTTAATGTTTTTTTATTATTATTATTATTTGTCTGCTCTACAGTGGAGAAAGTGAAAGCATTTAGATGTTTTTCTGAAGTTCAACCAAAAGCCACAAATCTCTGGACATTCAGGACCAAACAAAAAAAGGTTGATGATGGTTCAGAAGCTGCTTTCTTTTAGAGTTGCTATGGGTTTTTCACAAACTGAAGGAAGACATGAGCCAGTGCAGCCTGAAACCATCGGACCACCATCGAGATTGATCCCTGTTCCTCCACCCAACTCATCATTCAGTTTCAGGAACAATGTACCTAGTTTTTATTTTATTTTAAAGACAGCAGCCATGAAGACCTTCCATCACAATGATCGTGGCAAATCTTAAATAAAAGGAAGGATGTACTGTATTGCTTTTTTAATTCAAACATTCAAAAATGCGGACTTCTAAACTTTAAGACTGCCGGGAGCTGCGAGTCGAACTGACGTGCAAATCACTGTCCCTCTCGAGAGTCGGGGTGTTTGTTGGCCTGATCCGTACACGAGAAGTTTTGAACTTATGTTTGGGACCGCCGCTCTGGATCTTATTTGTTACATCTTTCTTGTCCTGCTCAGCATTTTGCTCATGTGTGGTTGTTTTAAAGTGCTTTATAAATAAAATTGGATTAAATTGGCCTCAACATGTGACTTTATGGTCGTCCACAAGGAAACAAGTTTTGTGAAAACGCATAAAAAAATTACCCTTAAATCCACATGTAAAATGAGTTTTATTTAAAACCTCAAATCTGTATTTTTTGGGAGAAAAAAATTCCAGCGTTAGAGTCCACCTTTGTGTTTTTGTGTAGACGGCCAAAACGCAACCTTTTGAAAACGATGATGTCATTGCCCCAGCTCTAATCAAAGCTCTTCTTCTTCTTACGTTTAGATTTGATTGGAGGCTTTTTGGACGTCCGCGGTAAGTCGTATTGTGTTACTTCCTGTTTTCTTTACTGGTAGCTGGAGTAATTTGTTTGCTCCAGGAATCTTTTGTTTTACTGGAATTATACTGTATCTTTAGCATAGTTCTACAAACTAATGCACAAAACATCCTCAATACAGTTATTTTCTACTATTGGACTGTGCTAGACACCTTTTTGTTTTTCAATGCTTCATTTTTATCTGTGTATTTGAAATCTGTTAGCTCTTGCTAGCTTTGGCTTCTAATTATTTTCCAGCATCCTCGGTTCTCACTTGTTCCCTGTGTCAGATGTTTAGCTATTCCTCTGCCTCCTTTACTGATAATGGCTTGTGCAATAATTATAGTTGCATGGTAGCTTTGGAGGAGCTGTCTGAATTGGAAGCTTGGCTCTGCACTGGTGACAAACCATTAGCTAGCCAGGTACCCTTAGGCAGCACAGAGCCACTGAGACAACTAGTTCCTGTTAGCGGTCCTATCAGCCCTGAGCAGCCGGGACCCCAGGACTGGGTGACAATCCAAAGTAAGCATAGTGCTAAGGCTAAGCTCATAGTTCACCACTGACCCGTTCATGTTTCAAATTGATTTTCCTCACTCAGTGACACACCCGCTGAGAAGCAGACCCTGGTAATTGGCTGCTCCATTTGGTCTCCAGCAATCATAGTTAAATGTATTCTGGGGGCCAGAGCAGGTGACAATAAATCTTATCTGAAACTACTGACCAAGGCTAAATACAGTAATACAGTAGTTATTCACGTCGGCGATAATGACACCCGCTTATGCCAATTGGAGGTCACTAAAATTAATGTTGCTTCGGTGTGTAACTTTGTAAAAACCATGTCGGACTCCGTAGTTTTCTCCAGCCCCCTCCCCAACCTGACCAGCGATGACATGTTTAGCCGTATGTCGTCGTTTAACCGCTGGGTGTCCAGGTGGTGTTCTGACAACGACGTGGGCTACAAAGATAACCAGAGTTCTTTCTGGGGAAAACCTGGTCTGATGCAGAGAGATGGCATCCATCCCACTTTGGGTGGAGCTGCTCTTCTTTCTAGAAATATGGCTGATTTTGTTTATCCCCCAAATTATTGACAGCCCAGGGTCCAGTCCAGGAAGCAGAGTTGTAGTCCTCCACCCCTCTCTGCTGCTTCTCCTCTGATACCCACCCACACCCACATTGAAACAGTGTCAACTCGCCCACGGCTCAAATTAAATAAACAAAAAAATCAGCTCTAAAAATATAAACCATAAAAATCTGATTAAAATAAACAGTTACTTTACCAGAGCAAAATCATAAAATCGTTAAGTGTGGATTATTGAACATCAGATCTCTTTCCTCTAAATCCCTGTTAGTTAATGAACTGATAACTGATCATCATATTGATTTATTCAGTCTGACAGAAACTTGGCTACAACAGGATTTTGTTGGTATAAATGAATCCACTCCTGTTAATTATTTAAATTTTCATGTTCCTAGAACAACTGGCCGAGGTGGAGGAGTAGCTTCTATTTTTCAGTCAGGATTATTGATTAATGCTTTCTGCTCCTCGAGACTGGGCTACTGCAATGTACTTTAAAAAAAAAAATGGAATTCCATCCAAACACATTCACAAACTTCAGAATGTACAGAACAGTGCAGCCAGGATTCTGATGAAGCAAAGGAAACATGATCACATCACCCCAATCCTTAAATCCCTCCACTGGCTTCCCATTTCACTCTGCACTGAGTACAAGGTTTCCTTACTCACCCACCAATCCATTCACGACATGCTCCTTACTACCTTAAAGAACTGCTCAGACGTCAACGTGATCCCTCCGCTCCACAAATTCCTCTCAGCTCCGCCCTCCCCAGACAAAACTGTGCCCCATGGGTGACAGGGCCTTTTGCTCTGCTGCTCCTCATCTGTGGAACAGCTTCCCCTATCATCTAAGGATGCCCAGACTACAGAAAGGTTTAAGAAATGACTGAATACCTTTTTATTTAAAATATTTTATAGTGTTTAAAGGTATTTTTAATCCTGCTGATTTTGAGGTTTTTATTTAGTTTTTAAAATTTTAGTCCATTTTTAGTCCATTTTCTATTTTCTCTAGATGTTTTATATTGTAGCACTCTGAGATTGTAAAATGTTAAGTGCAGAACAAATTGAATAAATTATTATTATTATTACGCTAAACTAATTATTAGTTATAATTCTTTTGAGTCGTTGTCTCTCGATCTTTTTCATCCAAAATGGAAATCAGAAAAGCCACTTTTATTTGTTCTCTATTGTCCACCAGGCCCTTATTCTGAGATTTTGTCTGAATTTTCAGATTTTTTTTAAAATCAGAATTATCATCACAATCGGTAAGGTTAAACCCAAATGCAGGCAGAAACTGGGAACAGGACGCAAAATAAAGATTAATTTATTAATTAACAAAAACAAAAGGCTGACATGGCAGCAAAACTTCATGAAAACACAGGGAAAAACACAAGGAGGCACGATGTGGACCAAGACATCTGACATGTTTGCAGAACAATGAGCTGACCGTGAGGGGGTGAGGGATGGTTTAAATAACAAGCTGGGTGAGAGTGAAAGTGGAAACGTCTGGGCTGAACACTGATTGGGAACAGGTGAGGGTGGCAGGCTGAATGGAAAAACACTGTGGAGGTTTACTGAGGGTCAATGGAATATGGCACAAGGAAAAAGAAACAAAACACAGATCCTCTCACTTATTATTGTACTGATGAAGTCTAATGGATGATTTCAATAGTCATGTAAATGTTGAAAGTGATAGCTAACGCATAGCCTTTGATATTTTAATAAAGTCTGTTGGTTTTACCCAAAATGTCCACACATTACTCATTCTCATCATAACACTTTTGACCTGGTTCTGACATCTGGCATAGAGATCAAGTACCGTACTTAATAGTACATCCTCAGTATCCTGTTCTGTTTGACAATCATTTAATAACCTTTGAGTTCAAATTAAATGACTACACAGACACTGAAAGTAAATTTCATTATAGTAGGTGTTTATCAGAGAATGCTGTAACCAACTTTAAAGAATCTCTTCCATTGTTTTCCTCTGTCTTGCAGAGTAGTGCGATAGAGAGCAGTGACTTAAATGATCTTGTTGATAATTTAACAACTTCATTGCAAACTTCACTGGATAAAATTGCTCGGCTGAAAAAAAAAAGATCAAGCAGTGGAAGCTGGTTCCTTGTTTCATTTCTGAGTCACGTACTTTAAAGCAGACATCTAGAAAGCTGACACTCCACTAAAGTGGATTCATTTTATTTAACTTGGAGAGATAGCACGCTTAGATATAGGAGAGCCCTTCATAAAGCTAGAATTGTACATTATTTATCTTTAATAGATGGTGGCATGGTGGCACAGTTGGTCTGTTGCCTCTCATTGAGAAGGTTGCCAGATTGAATCCCAGCCAGGGGCCATTCTGGGTGGAGTTGTACAGTATGTTCTCTCTGTGCATGTGTGGGTTTTCTCCGGGTACTCCG